TCAGGAAACATCAATCAGCTATTATTTCGTTCTTGAAATACAATTTTCAAATACTATTGCGATATTTAATGAGGTTAGAAAGAGAACATCTGAGTTAGAAACCAAGGTGATACTGACGAAAGAGTAGTTTATGATTACAATTATTATTGGTCCTTTAAATTGCTAGTGGAACATAAGGATTCAGTAGCAAGTGGCCATTTCACTCTCTTCTCGCCAGTCTTTTCAACCTCATTCAATGACCGACTGCCCATAAGCTTTCATTTCTGCTTCACACCATCTCCTCCATGTCACCCTCGGCTCAGACGCCCAACTCGTCGTTTCCCGTTTAGGTTGCATCCAAGGACCTGGTCTAGCGTGTGATGTCCCCGATCGGTCTACTCAGTGGATATCCAATCCAATCTATCTCCACTTTCTCCTACATATTTGTTGCGAGATGGGTTCTTGCTTCGTTGGTTCGCTCCCAGCCAGCAAGCCAGCCAGCCAGCCAGAGTTACTCCTTGCTTATTCTTTCATTCTCGCCATCTGATCTTATCTATCGAGTCAGCGTAGACAGCAGCTGTTGATAAGTGTCTACAGTTTGTTGAAAATGCTTTCATGATGCACCAACTCTCTGAAACATCACGTAGAGGCACTGACTTACTCAACTGACATTAGTGTTCACAATCCGATCCTTGTTCAAGCTTTATGATGAGTGCAGTGCGGTGCAGTAGATCTCCACACTGATTTCAGATTAATGCAGGAAGACCTGTCTTGCTGTCTTTCTGATCCTGGCTTTGATGTCCTCATCTGTGCCGCCGCCTGTAGTTGAAACAATGCTGCCTCCTAGGTAGGTAGGTAGGTAGGTGAACCAGACAACTTCCTTTAGATTTCTCCCGTTCGTGGTGTGTGCCGCTTGTTGCCGTTGTTATTAGTTGCGTATCTTCATCTCCTCTGTTTTCTCTACGTTTACCTGAAGAAAGTTCCATCTTTGTTGCCTGGCCTCTTCTGTCAACTTGTTAGCTTTCGCCTGTACATCTTCGAGTTTGTGCGACATTAAATATAGGTCATCGGTGAGATCCAAATCTTCAAGGGTCTTTTCATCGGTCCAGTGTGGTCTAGAGGTCAAGATTCCTGGTTCTCACCCAGGTGACCAGCGTTTGGCTCCCGCGCCGGGAACCAAACATTGCCTAGTTTACTGGCCCGTCTTAAGCACGGATAAAGAAGGAAAGTTGGGAACAGGGCAAGCAACCCTACCCCGTAGAACCAATCCAATTGCTAAAGAAACTTCAAAGCGCAGAGAAAGAGTAGTTAAACATCAATGAATCACATGAAAGCTAGGTAAAAATGTCGATGCTGGAAAAGAAACTTATTTTTATTCAACAATTGCATCTCGTAGCTCAGTTGCTAAGGCAATCGATCGGTGATGCGGAAGCCGTCCAATTCAAGTTCTACAATGAATCAAGTTTTCATTTATGTTAAATCACCATCTTATCATATTGAATATATACTAGTTATTCATATTTATCTTCACTGACTAAAACAATACGAAGTATACTAGTGCAAACATTTGAGCTTCATTAATTTCAGAGAACAAGAGAAATAAAACTTCAATATGATAGGCATGAGAATAAGTAACGAAGATATTCACATTTTACTGAAACTCAGTATAATTTCCCAAAAACGAATTACATCGGCTCTCACCTGTTTTCTTAATATATTTAGAGGCGATCCCTGCGACGAGTAGGAAGGTGCTGTGGCCTCAGGACGAATGAGGATACGGATATGAGGAGCTTTTGGATGGACTTCGAAGCTGTAGCACAGATGGTGGACGTCCACGCACCAGAGGTGATATTAAGGACATTGTGGAGTGGAAGACCAAGAGGATGACATCATTTTTAACCGCTTGGTCACGGCACTTGATAGCCCGGTGTGTAGACAAGAAACCCTTCAGAGATTCACAGTTAAAAAGCTCGGGACAGATGGCAGTAACGTTGACAGATCTGCTAAGTTGAGCGTTGCCCACCTTGAATAAAGAGCATAAAGCACAAGTACTGGTTATCCAGTTTGTCGAAGGTTTGTCTACAGCTATCGCACAGCAACCACACCAAGTAAGCGCTATACAACCAATAAACATCCGTGAACTAGGGATTCTTTATCATCACCTGTCTCACATCTGGTAGCTAATCTATACATGTACACAGCAGAATCAGACCTATTTAGCTAACATGATTTAAAACCAAGAAAATAGCGAAGGTGCGTTGATGACACTTTTGTCTTAACCAAAAGAAACGGTCTACGAAATCTTTTCGAATATCTTCACAGCTGCTTCAATTCTATAAAACTCACTTAGTAGCTGGAAACAGAATCCTGGACTCCAAGGCCATATGACACAACGACGCGACACTCGATATTGATATCTGTCGAAAAGATACACATCCTAACAAGCACCTTGACTTTAATTAAGGTCAACACCGGTTAGAAAGTAAGTTAAAAGTCACCAAGAATCTGTTGAAGAGATCACAAAGGGTACCTAATGAAGCGGAATCTCAGAAAACAAATAAGCAACTTGTTCAGGAAGTCTTAAAACAAAAAAAAACTATCCAGGAAAGCTACTAAAAAAATGCGAAAAGGTTTATCGAAAAAAGACACGGGAAAACCAATTCATCAAGATTGGATGCGTACTGTGGTACTTCCTTATCGAACATCCACATCAAAGGATATAAGATGTATCCTCAACAGTAAGGACATTACGGTATTCTTTAAAGTGACGAACACTGCTCACACCTGTGTTAATTAAAAAGCCCGATTCCCCATTGGAACAACAGAATTGTGTTTATAAGGTAGACTGTAGTGAATGCGATACCATATACACTCGGCAGACATCACGTCAAGTACTGACACGTCTGAGTGAACACGGTCGAAGTTACAAGAAACCACTAAAAAATTCCTATGATCTAGAAAAATCTGAAGGAAGTTCTACCATTGTAGCTTATGGCTTACATTCAGGTCACAAAACATCATTCGAAGGGGCAAAAGTTTTGCAGAAGGGCTTTCTTTCTCACAAAGAGCAGACCATTGCATAAGCTTTGTATACCTGTTCGCACTTTCCTTCGGTCAACAGAAAAGATGGGTTAGACATCCTACAAATATGGCAAACATTAATGACTCGCATAGACAGTTCCAAATAAAATAGAAAATGAAGGTAGAACACAACTTCCACATGAATTATTCCGAATTTACTAATGTTTGAGTAGTTTCTAATGTTATTTCGTTTGAATGTCTTAATCACTCCGAAAAATTTTGGTTTCATTTTGACAACTTGTCTAATCCTGTTGTTGTACCTTAAGCCTGCTTGAACCTTGGGCTATTAAAATTGTTCACCAAATATATGCTTTAAATTCTTTGCTATGAATTTGTGCTAATCATTAAACTATGTCTTCTAAACACGCTATGTACTCTTGCATAGTTTTCAGCTAGCTGTTTCTCGAGTAGATAACAAAATGAAGAAAAAAATGTCAAGTTCGATGAGAATGGACTTTTTTGTGCAAAAATACATCATATTTCAACCCATCAGACGCTTAGCTTGAATGGCAGATTCTTGTATTGGCTGAATGAACCGTCACCACCAAACTTACGTTCGATTTTATGTATATCCTCCATACTAGGTCAGAAACTAATCTGATGCCAGCTGACTGTTCAAGATCATCGCCTTTAGTAGAGTTATTATTAACATCACTCGGATGCAGTAATCATTTCTTTTGAATATATTATTTTGGTAATGAACCTGCTGAGAATTCCATACTGTATAAGACATACTGTTTAAGACCGAGCGATTATTATTATTGTTATTAATGATTTACTATTTATATCAATTTTGCGCTCCTTCCTGAGTTATATACATTCTATGAACCATTCTATGTATTATTTAATCCATTTTGTCATCATTCATGCTTCAACTGTTATCATAGGTAACTTTATCGTCATCTCGATAATTATTGATGATTATTAGTCGTTATATATTGTTTGATGTTCAAATATTCATCTTTGCAAAGTGGTAATCTATTCTTTCTCATGACTCACAATGTCACTGTACTTTTCATAATCGAACTAAATTTCCCTAGTGACTTTAAAGGCTACCCTAGCAACTGATGAGACAGCCAATTATATCCCTTTATTTTGAGTAAAAGTGCCTTTCCAGACGAGATACCAAAGCCTCATTGGTTGCTTCAGTTGTTGTTAGGGTAGCCTTTAAAGTCACTTGCACTAATCAATCAACGAAAATTTGGTTTAATTTAACTGACTACTTGCGAGTAGAAAAAAGAATAGATAACGCAAAAAACAATGCCAACTTTCAAAACTATATCAAAGATAAACTTAGGCCACAAATCGATGCAGAATAGAGAAGTAGACACACAAAAAGTATACATCAGTCAGGAATATCAGAGTAGCTTTCAAAAACTCTCAAAGTAAAAGCAAGTAAAAAGAAAGACAAACACGTTAAACAAGGACACATCAGTAGGGAATAAACGTGTACAAATCACGCGAACAAAGAGAAATGTTGCTTCCCTATAAACAATCAATAGATTATAAATAAGTTCTTAATATTAAACATCTGCCTAATAATACTCTTTGAACGAAATCAGGCTTAACCTAGTATCGAGAAAGCTACTAAAAAGTTTGAAAAATAATTGAAAATTGACACAGATGATATACATCCAAGTATTGTTCATCTTGTAGTATTGATTACGTCACAGGATATCAAAATAATCTAACTAGAGCAGTCTTTCAAGTTGGTATATAAAGATTATGTTGTTGCCAAACTAAGGAGTAAATTTTACTACAAGTGAATACCTGTTAGGAAACTAATTCATACCAAAAAGAAGTGGACTCCACTATGAAGCGAAATGAATCTATTCATAAAACTTGTGAAGTCAGTTTCATGTTTATAAGGGAATAAAACCAACATCACACAAGGATATAAAAGAGTACAGATAGTTTGGATGAACCATACACGAACTCACCTGAAATCGTATTGCAACAGCACCTTTATTGCCTGCAGTCCCACCAAGACCAGTTTTAACTGATGAAGTTGCTACATTTCGAAGTGAATCAGCCAAACGCGCACGAACAAATAGAAATAAACAAACACCTACTAATTGGACTGATGTGATAAGTATGTACGAATCACGTTCATTAGCGTCTCGATTTAAATGACGTTGTAAGAATTGTCCCCAATCCCGTTGATTTGCTGACGGTTTCGACCCAGCAACAATATTCGATGTAGTTAAATCAACAATTTCTTCAAAACCAACAGCAAACACATCCATTGGTTTATTCAGTTCACTCAAATCAATATCATGACTTTTATAACCCCAATCATTTTGACTATTAATTGTTTGAGGTAAATCAAGTAGCCAATCTGTAACAGACTCGTGTTTATGCGCTACACTACGAAAGTGTTTACCACCATTTACATTCCAAGTGCCAATAAATATACGTAGATTATGAATTTGGATAAATTCTGGATAACGATGTAAAATATTAGTTAATAAAGTAGGAGGTAGGTGTAATAGCCTTCGAGGGAGATATTGTTCTGTTTTGAAATAGACAAAGTATGATAAGAAAATAAAGTGAGATTAGATTAGATTACTGAACTTCTTGTAATCAAAAGCAGTAAATATATGAGATTATGCAACTAGATATACAATCACACTACTTTATGACACGTTCAGTGATAAACAATCAGGCCATTCAATGAGCAATTTAAAATTAGTCTTAGTTAAAAGATGATAAATGAAGTTTTCAAGAAAAATCCTGCAGTAAAGCAAAATTCAAAGACTTGTAGTTAGAGTCGGTTAACGACTTAGGCTTTCGTTCAATACGAGGCATTAGAACTACTATGATTAGAAAAACTCTATAGCATTTCTATCATCAGAAATGAATTTGTAGGTGTGAGAAGAAAATGAAGAAGAAGAAAGACAATAACAGATTTCTTCTTCCATTTCGATTGTCTTAACTTATCGAGAAACTCTCAACAATCTTTCATAGTGCGCCACATGACTGACAGACTGAAATGATCGTAGAATACTACTATTGAACAACTCAAGAAGTAAGAAACCATTCAGGCTGATTTGTAGTATTTCGTCAGCCAGATCAGTGCCCTAAACACCGGGTGGCTGTTTCACTCGTTTAGAACCGAGCTCATCAGCGGTGTACCCGGCTGAGTGGTTTCCAGCCCGAACCATGTTGACACGACAGTTAAGTAGTTGAAAGACTATTCACTTGTAATGAATGTTAATATGGACAGCGTAATTTGTAAAACTCTTTTAAATGGATCGCCCAATGAAACGATCGTAGAATTTTTTACCTTGCTGTTAAACCGATACATAGAATTTGATTTATACACTGCAGTGGAAGCGACAGTACATTTCAGATAATTTTTGTAAAAAAAAAATTTCCGGACTTTATGTTACTTATTGATCTGAGTATTTCATACAGTGTTGCAGATATTCAAGTGTATTCATTAACCACTACTCATGGATCGTCTTAGGTTTGATCCGAATGGTTTGTTACATCTAAACCGATTATTACACATGCTGTTTATCTAATCTGAATGATTTTTTTACTGAAAATTTCACTTCCCGAATTTGTGATTATAAAATTTCCGTTTGCTCTAAGTTTTTTCAAAGACTTGCTACTTCTTTTAGTGAAAAAACCTATGCATGTTGAGTAATATAACTTGAATTAAGGGGGTTGTGGGGGCTTATTGATTCTTCAAGTTGGTATTCATCATGAATTGACATCAGTTGGATAAAAATTAGAAACCTGGGAGCATCGGACAGCTGTTACGTCCTAGTATGCGACTCTTCAACGGTGCGCATCCATGACCTCGCAAGAAATTATATCCACAACTTTCAGGTTTCGTGGCTATCACGTTACCACTGAGCTCCTGCACTGGAATCTTATGCTACATATTCCCAACTTTTGTCAACAACTTTATTACTCATACCAGTAGTTGATATCACTATTTATTGACATACTTGTTACTCCCCATTGTGTTACTGGATCGAATTGTTCGACCTCTGTTGGCATATGGGCTCCTATGTGGGTGTCTCAATATTGCCTGCGGTCAAACAATTAGATCCAATAAAACAACGGAGAATAATAATTATTTCAATAAATAGTAATAACTACTACCTATTGTACAAGAAGTGGCTATCGTTCTTTCGTGGCATAGTGGATAATGCCTTGGCGTTTGAAGCGATGGGTACGACGTTCGAGTCTTAGTGGGAATAACACCATTCACTGGGGTCTAGGTACATCCAGCTGACGAGTCCGAAATAGAATGAAACGCACGTCCTGGATTCTTCTGCTAGCCACAACCAAACAAATTATAGTAGTTGATATCAGTTTGCATAAGAGTTCCTTAATTAGGGTTTGGCATTCATATCACTAATGACATTGTAAATATAAAAAAGATAACTTCTGATAACAAACTCACAATCACCAGACTGATACAGTATAGTATAATATAAGAGCGTGTGCAACATCTAGTGTAGAGTGATCACGAAGATCTGAAAGAAAAATTGTATTTCTTCGCCTTATTTTTGACATGAATATGCATGGGAATATTCTGTTTCATGCACTAGTTACTACGACTACGCAAGTAGAACTTATTTATATTGAATGAGTAAAAAACATAGGAAGGTAACTTTTATTATATACCCGTAGCACAAAGAGTAGCTACCGTGACTTAGTGGTCCAGTGGTATTTGAAGTGAGTCATAGGGGGAGCAAAACCACTCACTGAGAGGCAGATACATCCAGCTGACGAGTCCCAAGTGGGACGAGACGCACGTCCTGGATTCCACAGTTAGCCACTATCTATCATTAGTATCAAAATTAAAAGTACTGGCAATATAGAGGCATCTGCAATGGAGCTCATCTGTCAATAGTCTACGACCAACGAATCCTTGGAGACTAACCTCACAAACTATTGGCTAGACAAAACACCAAATAAGCGCAAAAACTATGCATATTTAATATAAAGTTATCACAAATAATTAATGCAACATTGATTTAACTGCACTATATAGAGAAAACAAACTAAGCCTGTGAATATATGCTATTTCAAGAAGAGAAAAAGAGGAAGAGAAATCTGCTAATATTGACGCAGAAACATAAAAATTCTCATGCTTTGAGAGCAACGTGGTGCGTCTTATCATTAGACTAAATAATCATTGGAATAAGGTGTAGCCTCTTAGATTAAAATCAACCATAAAGAAAACATAGCAAACCGGAAAACTGTTAAGAAGTCGACTACATCTAACTGGCATGTCTCCTATGATTATAAATATCTCAAACAGGTAGATAAAAAGAACGAAGCAATCACGACATTGAACAATAAATAACTGAAAAGGTTACTCAAGATAGAAGACACTAATACGTGACTTAGGCAAGATTTAAGCTTTCAATCAAAAAAAGAGTGACATTTTATCTAACTGAAAACATAATCATAAGTAAGAGTAATTTTGAAGTGGTCACTGTATATTTGGTAATGATTAAGACTACAGTTAGTTTGATCAACACAATTGAATAATCAAGCTCAGAACTACTGAAATACATACCTGAAGTGTTTGAATCTTTCGGAAATGGTAACAACAAAAACGCTAAAACTCCATAACAAATCGATGTAACAATCTAGCATGAACATAAAACAAAAATAGTACGCCAAATACTCCTGTTAATAATACAATCAGGAGTAGAACAGTAATCGAGATTATGATGGCTAGATTGGTTCTGTGTAACAACTTATATGAAGAAAATAGAGTGAAAGTGATTTTTATTTACCGAACTAAATTCATACATCGTTAGTTGGTTGTTCATTTCCTTGGTAGTAATTAAGGTTATTAATACAATGGTGAATACAACTCTACAAAGACACCTAGACAGTGCAAAAGTAGATAGGATAATTCAACAATGATTTTAATGATGAGCTGACAAACAATTGAACATCTTTCGATAGAGGATTTCCATTAGAACAACTGTACAGTCGTATTTAAAAGTATTGGAAACATATAAGACTTTTATTATTCAGTAGGGTCATGTAATCACTACACTGTTCAAAAGTAGACTAAAACTAGTTGTTCCTAGAGACAGAAGAAAGTCACAACTCCGACCATGTTGAAGCATTTAATGCTTTGAAGACATTCGACTACATGTGTATTCAGGCCTCCTCCTCGTTAGCGAATCGATCGTAAGAAAAAAACTACAAATACAAAAGTTTTCCAACCGCTTCAAAAAAAATCCCTCGCATGAATGTGGAATTATTCAAAGGCTAATTTGTAGCTGAAATACTTAAATTTCGCTTTTCAAGATCGTTAAGGACCGCATTTCACGCAGTTAACCTGAGAATTACATTCTCAAGTAGACAATTAGTTCATCAATGCATTAAGAACAGATTATCGCTTTTGTTAATCCCAATGTACATCTATTAGTTTACTTGTTCCTGTGGAGCAATGTACAATGACCGTACACAGTGACTATTCCGTATATATAATCTGGAATATTGTTCAGCTTGGTTATCGACAGTGCTATTCTTCAACAGCTTGTCATCTCCAGACATCTGACTACTCACAGTAGTTCCTTCAAAGTAATCTAAAGAGTATCAACCAACAGTTTTCTACGACTGTATCATCTATGCATTGCCGAACCATTGGTGATTCGCAAGCAAAAATATTATCTTTGTGCTCAAAAATGTTACGTGCACTTACCATGATGTGAGAGTAGTGATTCCCTTCAGGCTCTAGAAACAATTATTTTCAGGTTGGAGAAACATTGGAAACCTGTAAGTACTAGACAGCTGTTTCGTCCCAGTATGGAACTCCTCAGCAGTGCGCACCCAAAACCCCGCCGGCCACGGATCGAACCCAGGATCTTCAGGTTCCTCGATCAGAATTTTAGCATTGAGACACTGAGTCGGAATTCAATGGTTCATATTTCTTACTTCTGCCAGTTCACGATATAGTACGGCCTCCATCCAATACCATTGTTGAGTATCTGTCCTCATGTTCGATTTGGCTGGTCCAACTGGTCACGAATGCGCACTGCTGAAGAGTCCCAATACTAGGAAGAAACAGTTGTCCAGTGTTCCCAGATTTTCAATGTTCCTCCAACTTATATCAGCCCATGATGAATACCAACCGGAAAATAATAAATCCCCACAAACCTCAAAATTGAAACAATTCATTTTACTCTACTCTTGAACGTCGTAGAAATCACATAACCCTATTGATTAATTATAGGCTGTTATTTTTCGGATAGTTATAAATCCGACTGTAAAACTTGATTCAATAAAAATCGTTAGAAAGATAATCTTATTCGCTGTTATATTCTTTTGTCATACTACTTAATAAGGGAACTTTGCCTTCATCTGATCATCTGTAAATTTTAAAATTCATGAGTTAAGGTTTAAAAGTTAAAATCCTACAACTATGCTTGACGTAAATCACCCTACAAAAATACTGTAATGTTCTTTCTACTCTGGACAATCCTATGCTTGAACCAACTTTCCCCCAGAGGTTAAATTCGAATAATCTGACATTATCATCTGATAGCAAGATTAACACATGAGATTGACTTTAAAGTCCACATCCAAGAAATGACTGAAATAACCTAATTAAGTTTTTTTTTATTTAGACGAGGAAGGAAGTTTGTCGTAAAACTAACTCATTTCAGTAGTCTTTGTGTCGGCCTTTAGAGTTATATGAATAAAATTTCACACGCAATAGTGTAAACATATTTTAAGAATAGGAGTGACTTTAAAGTCTACCCGCAGAATTGACGGAAGTAACCAAATAAGTTTCTTTTTTTCAGCTCGAAAGGTAGTTTTTCATAACATATAGAAGTATAATTGGTTATCTCAGTAGTTCTTACGGTAGTCACTCTGAGAATAGTCGAGTAATAAGCCAAGCATGCACCGCTCAAACTTATTAAAACAGTTACGTCATTTTTGACATTAAACGCAACGCCTACATCTCGCAAATAGGTTTTTAAAAATGTGAAAGGCCACAAAATGAGTATCAGGTTTCACAAATACTGAAAACAAATACTAATGCTGTATATCATGATGAGATTAAAGTCATTCGCCATTGCTATAAAACATAGTATCATTTCCGTGTTTCGCCTCAATCACGCAGACTATCACATAAATCAACCAAGAGAGGCAGAATTGAGCAGGTTATCAGTATCACATATACAATGATAATTTAAAAGAAAAATTACGCTCTATAAACCTCTTTCCCTCACTAAATAGAGCGAAAGAAGAGCAAATAATAACTAGAACGCGTTGGATATTTTTGGATACTTTACACAGTACCATGCAGCTTAACAATAATCACAACATACTGGATACCACTTTAAACTCAAGAACACAAGTCTTATCTAAAACTTCTGGTTACTGCGACAATACACGTAAGTCAACAATAAACCGACACATCACGGGTTCGAACCCGGGTCGATCTACCGAGGTTTGGACACCCAAACAGTACTCACACAAAAGGTGTGGCTCACTGCTTACTGAACGCACATGAACAAAGTTATCGAGAGGATCACGAAGTGAACAATTGGATCTCCTCAGGCTTTACTCTAACATACATAATTTTTGCCTATATATACAACAAAACAATAAACCTATCATGGTAACTTCTTTAGCCTTTGGTAACAGTGTAATAAAGAATGCAAATAGTAGTCATCAAGACAATATTAACGACGGTGGTGATTTCAGTATTCATTCACGACGGGACTAATGAGAACAGCAAAGCACTAAAGACATTTAGACAGTTAGTGTAAGTCAAACTTAGAAATTAAATGTTGTGTAACCCGAAATAATGGGTAATATCGACAGTTTTGTCTAAAGCAATATGAAATGAATGCGAAAGCAGTGGAGAAAAGGAATACAGTTGAAAAGTGTGACTTTAATATCAATTTTTAAGCTTTATCTGGTTTAAGAAAAGATAAAAGTTGTACAAACCTTTCCTGCAGACATACACTAGAGTTAATTCCTCTAATTCCCGTAGGCTAAGCTACAGATAATACGAAAATACGGACCCAATTAGAAATGATTTTGAACATAAACTTTAGAATATCGAGCCGAAAACTCGGTAGTCGCTGGTTCAAATCCCACCACAGTCCAAATTTTCACCTTCAATCATCACCCAGTATAAACACTAGTCTGCTAGACCATGACTATCTCAGATAGTCAAAATGATAATCAATATGATCCGCTCCCTCTCTAATTCACTTACATTGGCGTTGGGAAGAGAAGTCCTGAATAGGCAACAAGTATGAATACGATCAAGCGGCAGTAACACATCACGAATTCATATGGTAGTCACGTAAAACCCATGGTGATTGAAGTAAAATAAAAATCTGGTCAGCAGTTGGGCATCGTAGCTCAGTTAGTAGAGCATTGGGCCGGAAACCCAATAGTCGACGGTTCGAATCCGGCCGCGGTTCAAATTTTCATATCACCTTCAATCATAACCCAGTATAAATACTAGTTTGTCGAACCAAACGATATCTCAGATAGTCAAAATGATAATAAACTTATAACACAACAAATCATTCTTTTTTCACTTCTGCCAAAATTACACACTTATGCAAGTTCCTAGATTAAAATATTAGTAAACTCTGATTACTGAGTGGAAACTAGATGTATTAAGCGAGGGTTATGCAGCTAAGTGAGAAGTAACGTAAATAACTGTGATAACAATGAAAATTGTGGAACTATAACAGTAATGATAACTACAATTTGAAAAAGAATGTTAGCAAAAAAGGAAATTCAACTTTACGTCTATAAATTTCATTAAAAATTAAGGTGACCTATTGCCAACCTCTTGAATCATTCATCATTGATATTTTAGAAGACAGGCCAGACTTCAGTATCACTGAACTGAAGCTCACTTATGGTAATTTATCTGTTAGCGGCTGTGAAGATTTTCCACATGTCAGTTCGGTATCCTGTGTCCATTAGTTGGTCGGTTGTTACACTTTCCGAGGAAATGTAATCCCGCATACTCAAACCACTCAACATCTCTAATATTCAAAGTAGATAAACGTCTGTCTGTTCTTCCAGTGTGTTTACTTATAAGTTGTTGCATCATCATCTGGTCGCTACACTTGGTAAATATTCTTATTTATATTCCTTAACGAAGCCAACTCAGATGAGACAACCAACACTTCAGAAGTATTTACTACAATTTTTATTTTCCACAAGCTGAATAACCTTGACCGGAAAAAGGTGAACCAATACAGTTGAAAGTAAAGTGAACATGTACAAAGTTATCTAGTCTGTCGATTGGATACAGCTTGTAATTTTGAACCAGCGAGTCCAAAGAGGTATATTTAAATATGAATTGTTTAAGGTTATAGAAGAAACTGAGAGTATATAATTTGTGTACTTCAGTTATTGAGTGTTTTGCTTGACACATAGCATAAATCCTCTAATCTTACTGTTCATTATCCCCATAGTATCATTGACTATTGAAACTAAGTCTAAATAAGAGTAGCTTTTATATTTTTCTGCTACACATATAAGGAGTAAATCAACAGTTTTCTTTTTGTAATGTATAATTGAAAATGTGCTACATGAAGACTATCACAGTTAGCGAAAGTATTATTGATACACTTCAAATAAAGGGTGTATGTTTCAATCAAGACTTTGAGAATGTTATTTCTTTACAGATGTGCGTTTGAAGATATCAACTGTTAAGGATTTAAGCGAACTTCCAATGACTATTTCAAACACTGTTAAACAGGAATTGTACATCCTCATTCCATGTGGGCAAAATATAACTAGTATATCTTCTAAATACTCACATACAATGTTGATGATTTATCAGAAAGGTGCAGTTTGTATATGGAAACATAAAACAGTAGGATGATGTTATTTACTCTTAATTTTGTCTAACTTTTGCCTGATATTTGTCTATAACCTTAAAATAACTTTATGATTTCTGTTTTCGCACCATTGTTTTTTCCACTGCTTCTTAAGGTTGGGTCTCATTGATTGTTAACTCTTCTAACTTATCAGTGAATGTTAGTGTTTGTCAAGGTCGTTTAGAATGTATATATTCAGCACCAGTCTCAACTGTTTTTAACTGTTGTTGAGCCAGTAAAAGCTCACTGTCAACGATCCGTCTTTTTTTCTTGTTTTCGTATGCTCGGACTGTTGTTGTTGTGGTTGACGTTCTCGTTAGCGACTAGAGTAGATTCTTTGCGCGTTAGATTTGTATTGCATGTAGACCGCTAGGTCGCATTACCGGTTGCAGCAGATGATGAATTGAATTTACATAAAATATATAATCACTGAGTTCTGTTAGTGAATCCAGAAGTGTCCTTTCGACGAGAGTTGAAGGACCGATATCTATCTACGTCCCATTCACGTTCAGACTGTATGTTAGGCAACTGAAGAGTTGCTGAGGGTCAGTTGAACTATGCTTCAAGGTGTTCTTCTCAGTGTTCCACCCACCTGTCCTGGGTAGTCATCAGTGATCCGTCCTTTTCGGTGATGGTTCCACTAACCATCTTCCTCTTCTTCCCGGTATCTTCAATAAGCCTAAATAGTTGGTGAGTGCTGCCCAACGCTGATGTCTTCTTCGTCTTCGTCGATTTTGTCACCCACCAACACTCGCGATCGGTGCAAAGACTCTTGGTTAACTCACTATTAAGTTGCTTTCGCTCTTCAACGTGGTCACAGCCAGCCGGAATCAGTCTTCTCACATCAGTCAGTCCGGATGACGTCACAGAAATCCAGTAACATTTTCTAACTTTCGGGTGGAGGTTGCAAATTTTCTTTGTCGCAGCAGACTTAATATCACGCCAGATTTCCTCAGGATGAGGATTTCTGTCACTTTCAGATAAATGCTTAGCTAACTCCTCCTACTCATATTATTCAAGAACAACTACAGAATAGTTCTTCAGAAGGTGAATAATCCAAATGATGCACCCTATACTTCGTAGTTAACAATAACAATAATCAAAACAATATGCAGCAAACAGTAAAAACGTACAGTTTATAATAACTAAACTAACCTCCAACAAGCTTCATCCAACCTTGTAAACTTGAATCAGTTAAAAGTGCATGCATAGCCTCTTGTTTAGCACTATCAAAAAAACTGTGTTGTATTGTTCGGACAGCTGTTCTTTGAGCATCTCGTAGCTTTGATCGACCACTACCTAACGCACCAGTTCCAGCATATATACGACTAACATGATCACCATTTTGTTGCCATAACTAAATGAAATTTTAAAAGGGTTGAATAAATTTATTTCTAATCCTTTCATCTAAGAGATAAACAATTATTTTCTTGAGATTTTAGTCAATATATCATATGGATGTTAGTTACTTGATGGTAACTAACAGTGAAATTTATTATGAGCATATCAGAAAGTTTTCAATACAACCGATGTTTGGTTCTATTTCCATGTTACAACAGTAGCAATCAATTCATTGCAAGTCATTCCACCTAAGGAATCCCAGGTTCAGAAAGAAACGCTTCTAGGGATTTACTGACTAAGTCGCGAAACCCAATTACTCATTAGTTATTGATTCCACTTCAGTAAGCATCAAGACAAATACCATTTGGTTAAATGACATGCATATGTTAACAGCTGATTATCCCATTTCTGAATGACCAGACATAAATCAAGAAGAAACAGACATCTCTTTGATTCGTCCGACAGCCGGAGAAGAATATCAAATGACTAAGTTCAAAGTGATACTTGATGGTTAATTTAGTTCAATAGTTCATTCAGCTGGATATCACACTTAGATCACTAGGATGGAATCTATCCCGGTAAAACGTTGTCTTTATACCAGGTGATTACTGAAGGTGAAATGAAAATTTGGACCGGGGCTATATTCAAACCAGCGATAACCGAGGTTTCAAGCCCGAAATAAATATTCATTTCACTTTCAATCATCACCCAGTATAAACACTAGTCTGCTAAACCACGACTATCTCAGATAGTCAAAATAATAATCAATATGATCCTCTCCCTCTCTAATTCACTTACGTTGGCATTGGGAAGAGAAGTCTTGATTAGGCAACAAGTATGAATACGATCAAGCGGCAGTAACACATCACGAATTCATATGGTAGTCACGCAAAACCCATGGTGATTGAAGTAAAATAAAAATCTGGTCAGCAATCTGACCACGTAGTTCAGTTGGTAGAGCATTGAGCCGGAAACCCGGTGGTTGCTGGTTTGAATCCCACCACGGTCCAAATTTTCATTTCACCTTCAATTATAACCCAGTATAAATACTAGTTTGCCGAACCACGGATATCTCAGACAGTCAAATGATAAGACGTTGCCTGCCGACTTCACTAAGGGATTCCATTTGAAAGACTACATTTCAAAGCGGTCAAAATAAGGACTTAGTACACAAATCATAAAAACAGTGAGAAAATCGAACTAAATTTCGACAATCATATCCTATTATGAAAACGTTTTCTGAAGTAAATCAGAGAAAGTATGAGCTGACCATTGAAAGAAAATTCGAAATGTGACTAGAATGCAACCCACATTTTTTGGATTTTATGATCTCGATCAGATTCATTATCATCAGTTAAGTAATCTTTGAAAATACGGCATATTAAAGATCTCCATCCATGAATGGTCTTATTCTCATGCGACAAATTTGAATAAAATTGAAGTTCAACCTTGACAAATCCCTCCGCTTAATACGGTCCGTTTTACATGAGCACAGTCTTGCAAAAGTTATTCAAATTATATAAAGAGAAAAATAATTAGTATTGTAGCCATCATCTTGTATGTGCAGATGATTCAGATAAACCAAAAGGTATTCTGGTCGTATCCAACTGTTTTTCATCCGAAATCTGATTCAGGTAACGTTTGGCGACGGGACAGATATTGACTAGGCATGCGTAAGACCTATCTAAGCTATCTTATTCGATGAATTTTTACAAACTTGTCAATTATATTAGATCTTTTGCATAAAACTCTATGCGCAAAACGTGGTTTATCCACGAAACAAGAACAGTACAATAAAGGCAGTAGTGGTCAAACACTTGGCGCTTTCTTACATCCATCACTTTTGAGGGCCACCTTTGACAAATCTATTGTGGGATAAAGTCTACTTCTGTATGGTACATCCAACCGTTATTAGGCAATCACATATCTTGCTGGTGCAACAAGTAGAGTGATTTGAGGAAATTTAAAGGAGGCTTTGAATCCATGTTGAGATTTTGTCAGCTGCCAATTATGACTGACCTTGTCAAGTAAGTAACAGAGGCATAGATCAGACAAAAGTCGAGAAAACCAGTATATTTTGAACTGTCGTCTAAAATCGAGAATCACCGATCTCCACTATCTAGAACGTTTCAACCAGCAAGACTATATCACCTGATATGAATCACACCGATATTTGTTGAATTCAGAGTCTTACAAAAATTTTCTTGACTGACCTGAGAATTCTATATACTCTCTGCCTAATACTCATCCTACTGTAAGATATGTAAAGGTATCCAGTCGGTGGTTATGCAGCAATCTCGTTGACTGCGCATTACCTATCTCTGCTAACACTCTACATCTAATTTTAACATCATACATTTCATTACACAATAGTAATGCATAAAAAAAACACCAAAAGATAAAATGTTTACGACTAAACCTCGACCAAAAAGAAGAATTTACCAGTAAACTCACCTGTCTCAGTCCATCAACAAAACGATTTACTAAAACAGGTTGTTCATTAACATTTATGCCTAAACTGTTTAACATTTTAGGAAGAATTAATTGAACACCAACAAGTGTTTCAATAGCATTTGTTCTATCCAGACAATCAACACAATTAATTCGTAGCTAACGAAACAGAAAGAAAGAAAATAATAAGACAAAAACTTTTATTGTTCGGAAAAAAAACAATGAAATAAATTGATTTTTACTTCTAGTCACCATTAAATAAATAAATAAAAGCTAAACATAAACAGATAAAAAGATAAGAGTAGAACTTGGTATACCTCATCATATACAACATACAATGAAATCGTATTGTGAACTTGAATAGGATTTCGGACATGATTTATTGGGAATAATCATAACATATCATATCTTCAGACCTGTTGTTCATGGTTCTGTTTTTTGTCTTTAGTCATAGATATCTGAGACTACTTGTTGAGTCATTTCTATTGCTATAAATGCAATAATCTACATTTTCATCCAAGAGTAATAATCCATGATAAGTTCACTAAGTATTTATATATTGTTTTATTTACAATCTCTAGCTATATGTATTATTACTTAGTGCCATGTGTAAAAAATCAGACAACCTTTGAAAAGCCGTACCTCGATGTGCCAAGCTAGGGGAAGTTGGACTATGTAGGAAGAGAGTTCACGGTGACCAGAACAAGACGTGGTACCAGTTTATGAAGTCCCTAGCCGTTGGTATGAACTATGTTGGGAGATGTAGGTTACCTGGCTAGGATCCCCAAGACGCTAGAAATCGATAGTTGAGAACTCTGGGTGCCATGATGTTACAGTGCAGAATAAGATTGCCATAATCTTCATTAAAAGTAACCAATCATGTTGCACCAAAGTTTCAAGACAAAGCATATGAACCAACGAATAAATATCGAATTGGTTGAAAAGAAGAAAATCAATAGGAAATCCAAATCTAGAAAGGTCTGGAAGTAGCCAAGGAAATTGTAAATATATATATATACCCCTGTATCTTGCCGATATTTTTGGCGTTGCAGTACATTTTTTATCTTACCGCCTTTTCCACTTATCGAGAAACTGAGGGACTATCAATGGTTGGGATCTGAAGGTTATTGTTCTCGTTGTATCAATTAGTCACTATAAAGATTTAAAACATGGCTGAAAACCAGTCACAATGGTGCATATGTATCAACCCCTTGGCATCTTCTAAAACTTGAATATTATGTTCAGATTGTTTATTGTCTCACCCTACTTTATCTACTTTGATATCATTCTTATTCCATCCACCTGTTCTTTTTGTACTACTGTATAATGTCACAACTTGAACCGATGTACTTGTGGGCGACGTTCCACAATGACTCTGTCTGTCTGTCTGGTATTTTCGTGTAGAAAGGTAGTAACTAACCTAATTTCAGTGAAGGAACTAACTAGGACGAAACACTTGTCCAGTGATCCCAGGTTTCCAATGTTCCTCCAACTGATATTAGTCTGTGATGACTACTAACTTGAAATCAATAAAGAAGTCCTCACAAGCCTCTAAACTGAATAAAATCTCTTTACAGATAAAATTGGGTCGTAGGTTCGAATCCCTAAATGACTTACCAAAGTCTTGAAAAGCATAAAGTATAAGACTTACTGCTTAGTGGATAAAACTCTGTATTTTCAATGAAGTCAACGATATTCGACCAAAAACAAGCCAGTCTACTAGGCACTATTGAATGATGAAATGAAATATCAGTAGTCAACTATTCGACAGCTTCAAAACAACAGTGATGTTGATTTTTTTTTCTAACCTTGAGACTGAGACAGTCAAATAGACTGGTTGAACATGCCAAACTATCAGTGTATGGACCAAAACATCTTTGGAGGTGTTGATTTGAAAACACTACATGACTTAGTAGATCAAAATACTCCACTACAATGTGTACTATAGCAGATAAAACATCGCATAAGTGGACTTAAACAGAGTACATTATATAAATAATGGTTGACGTTAGTCAGCTAAAATTCACCTGTTTAAGTTACAAACATAACCAAATTAATACACAGAGCATATGCATGGCCGAAAACTTCGTAGTTAGTGACTACGAAAAGGTAGTACTTCATCATACATTTGATCTCAAGTCATTAGATATCTATTCTACAGTTAAAATGAAGTCAACCGTAATATATATTCGTTAGTCTCTATATATTTGTACTAGTGGCTAGACAAATCTTTAAAACTAAAACAGAAAAACAGATCACATTTTAAATATGAACAACATATTTAGCATAATTACCACTTTTCTATCACATTTGCATATAAATTTTTGTCATCACAAGCGCTGTAATTACTAATATACTAGTCAAAATAGTGTAAGAATAAAATACGATTGTATTGATTCAGTTAAGCTTACAATCTACTTGTATGATATTGAATCAGTGTTGATAAACGCATATATATCATACCTGTGACGTGATACGTTCTGTGGATTTATGACGTAACAATTCTTAAATTATTGAGATAAAAAATTGTATCACATTTTAAGGTTCAATCCAGCTCAGTGAACACAATACAACCAAGACCATCCACTTGAGCTACAAATATTCTCCATCATTTCAGGTTCAAAGAAAGTTTATTGTTCCGCCTGTTTTACTGAAATAATTATTAGTTCTATAGTCAGTTTAATAAAAGTCTGTGCTCCAACAACATTAACAGTTTTCTAGGAAGCTCTATAATCTCTTCGGTAGCTGTCTTAATCCATGACTTATAATGGTAAATAAAACAACTTGTTATCAGTCAAAAAACATTCTTTATTTATTTCGTTAACTTCTTGTTCAACGAAGTGATTACTTATTGGATTAAGCAGTAAACATTCTATCAGTAGCTCACATATTCAAAACTTAGTCCACTAGATAAAGTTTGGGAAGGTAGAGTTAATGTCAAAGTCTTCACCTCTTTATCATGCTTAAAAAACCAGAGTTACGCAGCTGCCACTCAGATTATTCAAAACCAACTAATAACTATTTATTTCATATAATCTCATGTAAAAATGTGCTGCCTAAAACCTGAACAGTACGTAGAAATTCGGTTTCATTACTTATTGTAACCTAATCACTGCCAACTGAAAGCATTATTAAGTTACAGACAGGTAGTGACACAAATGGAATACTCGAAGACTAAGTGAAAAATTTTAGACAAAAAGTTTTGAGCAATCGTCTGGGATATGGCTAAGCGATACTATTAATTTCGATGTTAATGCAACACTTGATATGCCTTGACAGCAATGCTAGCGCAGACTTCTTGCTCGAAGATTGGTTTACTCAAATGACTTCCCAATTATGAATGCGTACTACGAAGGAGTCCCATACTAGGACGAAGCAGCTGTCCAGTGCTCCCAGATTTTCAATGGTTCCCCAACTGATGTCAGTCCATGATGAATACTACTTCTAAGTGATATTTCTATTTTAAATAGTCTTAAAGACCAAATAGCCTTTTACCACCGTAAAGAAATCTGAGTCTAGTTGTATCAATCACCTACCTTCAGTACCAAAATGCTAAATTACCTAAGCCGTTAACAGGAATGTGACAATCAAGGCAACATGCTTAAAACAGCTGTAACTAGTTATTTAGCTGTATAGCCGACGTACGGAAGTGTTTTTATCATTCTGTTGTTGACATAATGCCATCTATAATAACTAGTTCAACACTCATAGACAGGTTCCTGATATTAACGTCCACCTCTTATGCATCGATCTTTTAGTAAACTTTTTATACAATGTAAAGTACGCAGCTGAAATAGTTCTGCTCTATGATGAATGATGAAAGTATCATCAGGCAATCTGAATAACGCAAACGTCCAAGTTAGATTCATCCGCATACATCATGAGCAACAGTTTATCAGCCAGTGAAACCTTATACTCAGAACTCTATTACTCATGGTTGATTGGATTTCCGTTTAGTTACCCCACTAATGTGAGTGAGAAACAATGATCATGTATCAATCTCAACATACATTTAAGAATTTTTACCTCATTCAAAACAACGAAAACTGTTTTCACAGCGAAAAGAATTGCTATTGGTTAAGGTAAGACACTTGATCTAAGTACCTAAACTTCATCTTACGCTGTAAACAAACAACAAGAGTCAGATTATTAATATTACCAACCAAAAAACTTATTGAATAAGACAGTCCAAGATGTTTACAACAAGTGAAGTAGTCATTACAAGTTTCATTGATATTGAAAATAAAGCAAGTTTATAAATAATAACTACATTGCTAATCGTATATTCAAAACGGTGTCATACAAAGTATTTCATGAATGTCTGAATAGTAGTGGACATAAATAAAGATCATATAAAACCGGATAAATGAAATAGAGTACTGGAGACAAAGTTAGTACTGACTGCAAGAACATCACAAGTGACAGAATGAAGCATCTGTTTAATTTATTACACTTTAAAATAGTGGCAACGACAATTGTGAAATTGTTCAATGAACTAAACCAACATACAAAAACAAGAAGTCAGTTAGCGTACAAAATAATCATATTCGGAAACTATGCCCAAAATATCAATTCCAAGGTATACCAACCAAGGATTCCAGCTGTTTACCTACCTAGCCTCTTTTACAGATACTGTCTACTGCTTATACCATCCCTAAATATCCTGGACTAACAGCGAAAAGCGTATTATCTCGGTTCGCTTTGAGTTTTTTGAATATAATACAATGTAATTTGACAGATATAATCTGTGGCAATCATTGTCATCACTGAATTCTCAATAAGTCAATGAAATCACTTTTCTAAACTATGCAATCAGTATTCCAGTTACTGAAAAATAACTGTAGTGTTTCATTGAAATGGTTTCTAGCAGTGATCGTATCGCCACTTATTTAAAGACTGTGGGAATCGAATAAGTGTCAGACAATAATTAACATGTGCAACAACGCTACAAATGTGTACACAAAATGAATTTGGGGTTTGTGGGAGATTTAGTGATTTTTCCAGTTGATATTCATCATGGACTGACACCAGTCGGAGGAACATTGGAAACAAACCTGGAAGCAGCGGATAGTTGTTTCGTCCCATCTCTAAGGAACTCCTCAGCAATGCGCACCTAAGACCCCGCTCTGCCAGGGATTGAACCCAAGGCCTTCAGGTTCCGTGGGCAGCACGTTACCATAGAGTCACTGGGTCGGAATCCAATCGTCCATATTTCCAACTTCTGTCAATTCATGACATAGCGCAACCATCACCCACTGTCATCGTTGAGTATTTGGCCTCACAGCCACCAGGTTTGCCCCACTTATCACAATTTCCCATTGAAACTTCAGGAATCACCTCTTGAAGCTAGTCACCAATGAGCACCAGATCAATTGAATTGGGGGTTTGTGAAGACTCAGTGACTTTTTAAGTTGGTATTCAAAATGGTTTACAAAAAGATAAGAAGGGGGAAATGGAACTAGTATAAAAATCACCTTACATTTCTCAGATATAACGTGTACATTTTAAGCACAAAAAGGATAAACATCAACAAACTAATGTCATACCTTCATTATACGACGATAAATATCCAGCCTTTTAAGACCAGATGTATATCAAAACAACTCTATGGTTAGTGTACACTGATAAACATTACTAAGCTTTTACAAAAACGCCAACTCAACTGCTATAATCCAGTAATCAAATAGCTACTTATACACAAGTTAATACTAGCGGAAACAAGTTACTAAAATTCAAGGTGCAATGTAGAGCTCCTTAAAGTTGTGTAGTGTTGATTATCTGGGTGACTTTAAAGGCCACCTTAGCAAGTGCTGAGATGACCAATCATGTTCCTTCATTTTAAGAATAATTACCTTCCCAATAACAATACAGAAAGGTGATTGGCTATCTCAGCAGTTGCTAGGGTGGCCTTTAAAGTTGCTCGATTATCTACGCCTAAACCTGATGATGGTTGCTATTATCTGACAAAAACAGCAACACAGATGCTTAATTTGATTTCATATTAGTTGAAATAACCCGTGATAACAAATAAGAGCACAGTAAAATAGGGAATATTTTAAGTATAAGTAACTGAACTGAAACGAAAAAACTTAGCTGAATTCTAAATATTTATTTTTAGTAAACAATTTTCTCAACTTTTTTCCCAACATACGCAATTGAGATAGATTTGGCAAAATAATCCACTTCATAGTCACCAGTTTTTTCAGTAATTAGTCAAAATATAACAAATTTAGTCGTAATGGCGGTTATTTAGACCTAAAATTATGGGAATAAATTATAAGATTATAAGCTGCCAGTCAAAAAATATCTGAGTAATTTTACTATTCCTTAAAACAGTTTATTTCATGAGACGCCTTAATCGGTTCATTAAATTTATAAAAATCGCTACAAATATAACACCTACACGAAGTGAGAATATTCAGTGACCAGTTTGTAGAGTCATGTACTTCTCTCCAGGATCAATAGCCTAGGGTTCGATGAGATTCAACATTTATGATGACCTTCATAGTTTTATTGGACTCAGTAAGCTGAAGGCACACGGTCAAGCATCCACCCTATACGGCACGCTGTCGTGTTGCGTTGTACTTCTCGTAATCGACCCTTTAGCATCGATATTTTGGTACGACCTCGCAAATACATTATTCCATCCGACCACACCATTGTGTTCTTCATTGGTCTCGTATTCGTGGGTATCAAAACAACTCTATGGTTAGTGTACACTGGTATATTACAAGTACGAATAATTAGTGATTGGTCTCTGCATCTGTCAAGTTTGCACAAGGAAAATTTCTAAACGTTCTTGAGATAGTAAACAAACAGTCATGGAAAACTGACCGTATTAACCAATAAATTTTAGCTCGGTTTTCCTCAAATGGTCAAATTACTAAATAACGTTGCTGATCATGATGGATACGGATAGTTCTTAGGTTATTAAGCTTAATACAGTTCCTCTGAAGTTTTTTTCACAAGGTCGAAAATAAGTTACATATAACAGGTGACAGATAACTTGGCTCAGTGCATTATATACACAACTTTAACCAGTGAATCACCGACTGACAGAAAAGCCTTCAGTTACTACGATTCGGATAGTTCAACGGTATCACGAGACTTACACAATAGGTGTAACTCATTGTCAAGTAAATAAACCTGTACACTATTTTATAAAGGCAAAACAGTAAAATACACCAAAGACCAATTTTAAGATACAGTCTTTGGCGGTGTCACTAATTTCCTAAAATAAGAATATCAAAAAACAAGATATAAAAGTAGTGACAGTAGTGACATTAATCTCTAATCGAAAGGCATTTCAAACAACTAACCAGTTACATCACGTTCAGCATTTCGACAACTGAAACTGAAAAATGACATTTTGTTTATTTATACTGGATGATGACTGAAGGTTAGATGAAAATTTGGACCACAGCCGGATTTGAACCAGAGACCACCGCGTTACCAGCCCGATGCTCTAACAACTGAGCTAAGAGGCCCGACTGTTGACTAGGTTTTTATTTCACTTCAATCACCAAGGATTTTGCCCAACTACTATATGAATTCTTGAATTCTGGTCACCAGTCGGGCTTCGTTGCTCAGTTGGTAGAGCATCGGGCCGGTAACCTGGTGGTTGCTGATTTGAATCCGGAAGTAGTCCGGACTCTCATTTCACCTTCAATCATCACTCAGTATAAATAATAGTCTGCCAAACACACGGGTATCTCGGATAGTCAAAATGATAATTTTTTATTGTCTATTGACTCATATGGAATATTCATTGCTACTTCTGGGAGATTATTTTTCAAAACAAACTTCACTGCCTCTCATTTTACATCAGCTTTCTCACAACGATGAAGAATACTGTTACCAAGTCTTGATGAATCTGTCCTGCTTAAGCTAATGATATCAGCTGGTAATTTAACACTAGATTCATACAGATAGACAATTTTCAGCACTGCGAGGCACTTGAGATACTTCGAATGTACACAGAATGAACAGAGTTTTTTAACTGAATCCTGCCATAGTAATTTACTGATATATTGCTAGTGGGATGTAATTCATGCTGCATTAAACTGAAAAAAAGGTCAGTATATTCGTTGAAGACAAACTGGCATGCCGTAAAAGATGGAATAAACATAACAAGATCAGACTGGATCCATTATTTCATAAATTTTTCACCTAACCTTTGAACCATCAAATGTTAACTATATAGATGAAAACTGGAAGTTTGAACAAGGTTTTATTTTGGGCAGCTGAAATATGCCACGGTGTAAGGTGACATTTCTGAGGAATACACTGTGAAGTGTATTATCCATTATGGTCAAAAGCTCTATGCTACTGCATGTTTCCACCTGTTTACTTATGTGACCAATGATAGACTAATGCTACAGATAACTACTAAACAAACCAGTTGTGTTCCTAACCTTAGGCATATAATCTGCTTGGCGCTCAATAACTGTTGACCAAACTGGCAGGTGGCGGTATTGACAAGATATACTAGTGAACAGTTTGAGTAGTTAGAAACCATTTAGGCTGATCTGTTGGTTTTGCTGGCCAGAGTGATCTAAACACCATGTGGCCGTTTGCGTTTGTAAGGGTTGAGCTCATTACCGGTATACCTGGACGAGTTTAGCTAACACAACTTAATCGTTCAGATCATCTGAATCTGACTAACTGATTTGCATAAACCAGAGTTTTCGTTAGAAACCATCCAGCCAAGATTATAAAGTATCATCTCTCACACAAGTGTCGTGAACTCGTGAACACCTTGAGTAGAAACCACTTAGGCTGATCTATAGTATATCCCCAGCCAGGTAGGAACAAAAAGTATGTTTTAGTGATGAAGCAAAATAATACTTCGCGTATGGAAACACTACGCTGCTTAGGATTAGATGAGTCTTGCAGTAAAGATATGTGATACAACCATTTGTTCGATAGGTAACCAATTAACTAACTTTTTCGATAACTGCATGTCCTACATTTCCTGAGTTAGAGAACATAAAAAGAACATTTATTCTTAAGATACTCTAAAAAATATGCTGACTGTATCCTTTCAGAGGTATCCTTGAACAGAAATAAACAGTTCATTTCAGTTGAATATATGATACCTATGAGATAAATCAATGAAATAAATCTAGAACTGAATAAATGTAACAAAGAGTAAGCAAGAAATAAACATAAGAAACAGTAACCAATCAAATTTATTCATAAGACAAATATGACACTATGCTGTCCCTTAGTTACTGATCAGATTTTATTCAAAATCCCAAAACATAATCATGTTACTCCGAAAATAAACTATTATACTACTCCAAGCAGAATTATAGGGATATTTTTCAATATATCAATGAACAAACAACTCTAAAATTAAAGTAGCCATAATATAGATTAAGCGAATATGATGCAGTGAACTTTTGACCTATATATAAAATTCATAAAGAAGTTGTTTAGACTCAATAAACAACGAATTTGATGCTAACTTACAGTAATAACAATCTTTTATACCTTATAAACCACTGTGATAAATACATAATAACTTCATAAGAATATACAAAAATATTTCAAATGGAAACATGCAGTAAAATTAAAAATCTCAAGGCTCATTTTCTATATGCTTAAAAGTGATAAGAGCAGCTAAGAATAATACTTACCGCTCCACTTTGCCACAATTCAACTTGTTGACCATTTGAATAGAAATATCCCCATTCACTTATGAGGCGATCAATTTGTTGATTTATCCATTCCAAACTTTTTGCACCTTTCGATTGTAATTCCGAATGATAATCAAATATAATATGATGAATATTATTCTTTATTTTTCATTGATAAGGAATAGTAAAGAGACAAAAATGAGATAAAGATGGAAAGTGATACCAACAATGTTATTTATTCACAACTGATAATAGTAATGAACACAGAAATAACGACCAACGATGAAGAAAAACCTGATTCACTTCAGGATTCTGACCAGTAGCCTCTCGACAATCAACCCCCCTCTCTCTCTCTCTCCATTGATTGATGATTCATGGCAAAATAAGTTTTTTTTAATTTTATTTCAGTAAATAAGTATTGTATTGTTTATTTGTGGAAATTAACTCATCTTAAGATAGTTTTCATAACAGACTGAAATCAACTTGTAGGAAAGGACAAGATGAAGGTGAAGAAAGGAATGTTTCTTATTAACATCTTGTACAGTTGTCATCAAATATTGTAAACCTCCCACTAAGATAGTCATTTCCTCTTCTGCTTCTATCTTGATTTGCTTTTACGCCCACATTGATTCTTGCATTTCTCTGAGCAGAATCGTTACCCACTGCTGGTAATTCCCTATGATTGCTCCCGCCCTCTCAACATATACTACTTAGACCCATTCTGATCAGTAGCACCCACTACAAACTGAATTTCCTAAAGTTCTAGTGAGAAATCGTGACCTGTCAACCAGACTGTGGGTGACATTGTATGATGGTTGTGCTGTATCGCAAACTGACAGAAGAAGAAATTAGTGAACCACTGGACTCTAACCTAGTGCCTTCGCTGTAAAACCTGACGGTTTTAGGGTCGGTCCTTAGCGGCGTCATCAGTGGGTAATACCGAGGGGTCCCAAACCAAGACGAAATAGCTGCCCAGTGTTCTAAGGCTTTTAATGGTTGTTTAACTGATTTCAGTTCATGATGAATACTACCATGAAAGAAATATCTTGTTTAAATACATCATTATCTCAATAAGTAGAAAGTTAATTTGGCAACCTGTAAGCCACTGGTTTGTAATATTTTCTCACATACATGCCAATTAACAAACTATTTTAACACGAATGCGATGCTTTTTGTTTAGAGAAAATATATCAGTTGCACTAGTTGCGAACTTCAGCATGAGGATATTTTGACTCCTACATATTGATGAAAACTATTGAATTCCACCGAAAAACTAGATTTCGTTGCATGTGACACTTATTTACCCTTAAATAAAATATAGTTATGATAACAAAGTGATACTTATTAAATTCAGCCAATGGGTCACCAGTTCGAACACCGCTCAACCTACCGAGTTTTGGGCAGCCAGTTAATAATATTATTAACTTTCATACAATATATGTGGCTCATTACCTACTACCTGAACATGAACACACGGTTGTTAAGAGTATTTCGATTTGATTCGACTTATCAAATAATTGAGGAGGGGAGGGGGAAATATATGTGGTATTGAACAGCTGTTTAATCCCCATTCATAACCACACAATAAATGTTTATTAGCAAGATGCATAGTTAAGTTAAATGTCGTCAGCAGTTGAGGATGTACACTGCTGATAAACTAAGATCAAATCTAAATGTGACACTTTCTATGATTTGAACAAGTCCTTAAATAATACAATTTCATGATAAAAAGTTCTCTTTACAACCATTTTACCAGTTAAATGAAATAAATTAAAACATAGATCATAAAAAGTACAAAAATCAAGCTTATTTACAAAACAAAAAAAAAGTAACTTACTCTAAAAGATGACTTCCTATGTTGATCTTGATAAGACTTACTAAGCATTGCTTCACCTTGTTTACAACCTAACAAGTTAACAATACCAATTGATCCATATTGTGACATCAAATTCATAAAATGACGTTCAAAAGCGCTTAATGATATATCAAGTGGTCGACTAAGTGAAATTTTATGTGAACCAACTTGTAAACCTGGTTGCTCCCAAAATAGTGGAACTGTACCACGTAGTTGAATATAACTACACACTGAATCCCCCAAATAAATGAACTGTTAATATATTTTTTTTTAAAAGAATTCAAGAAAATAAGAGATAAGAAGTATTCAATTACTAATAAGAACAAGATAACGAAAGACAGTCACTAGACTGATGGATATTTCATAAATGATGCTTTAAGTAAATCAATAAAGTAGGTTACAAAATTGATAAGACAAATATGATATTCATCTCTTTCTAGTAGTAACGGCAATAATAATGAAACAATTTGACAAGTCAATCAATAGAAGGCTATCATCTGCGTGTAATATTTGACAGCATATGATGCTATATTATCAAAACATAGATCGAAATAGGTGGAGTAGATTTCAATTTGAGACCGTAAGCCATTAAACCTCTGTTTCACATACAAAGAGGTAATTAATGTTGATGAGGCTAAAAGTACAATAGTGTTTTAGAAGTAGTATTCATCCTGAACTGACATTAGTTGGGGAATCATTGAAAACCTGGAAGCACTGGACAGCTATTTCGTCATAGTATGGGACTCCTCAGCAGTACGCACCCACAACCCGGCTAGGGATCGAACTTAGAACCTTCAGGTTTTACGGTGAACGCGTTAACCATTCAGCCACTGGGTCAGTTTCCAATGGTTCACAATTTCCAACTTCTGTCAATTCACGACATAGCGTGACTGTCACCCAAGGTCTTCAGTTAGCATCCACTTCACTTTCGACTGGTTGACCCCACATGTCACGGCTTCTCATTAGAACTTCCTGACATCCATCTGGAAGCAAGTCACTAATGAGCACTATGCAGTAATGTATTAGGACGAAACAGCTGTCCAGTGCTCCCAGGTTTTCAATGGTTCTCCAACTGATGTCAGTTCATGATGAATACTACTTCTAAATTAAAAATCCCCACTCATCTCAAAAATACATTACAATAGTGTTTTGTTTGAAAATATGTGTATAATCCGTTTTTTCAAGCATATATTTTGAAGTGAAAATTGTAATCATAAATCCTTCTTGCTTTAGTTTGAAGGTTCAATTAGCTTACTTTAATTTGTAAACATCATTCTTCATAAATAAATGTACTTACATTCCAACTAGGAGGTGGAGGTCTAACCAATACTTTGCACATGAATAAACGGTATGAAATATGATTCAGTAACAGAGGGCGTGTTAGAAACTATATAAATAGGTAGAAGATATGCATAGATCAAAAAGAAAATATGCGAATTTGTGCACAGAACCCTTTATCCTATAACAAGCATGATAATGCCTGAGGATGACTTTTAGCCTCACTCATTAATATTACCCTAAATTTCAACGACAAGTCATATGATATAAGTGATAAGGGGTAAGTAGTGAGTATAAAGACAAAATAGTAACGATTATACATAACTAGTGTAAATAAAATAGACTTATTGTTTAGTTGTAAGTCTCTGTTTTTTCAGTATATTTTGAAGATGGAAACAAAATGTCACCGACTGAGCTTAAAATTAATCAACCATAAACGATCATGATCTCATAACTAAACTATAGCCAAAAAAGATTAGTAACAGGTTGTTTAACTGCAGTACTGGTTGAGACAGTATTCAATTTTCTTAAAGTTGTAAATACCCATTGTTTTATTGAATGTTAAAAAGTGTGAAGGCATTGGTCAGGGTTTCCTGTAACTCCATTAGATTGTTCAACAAAAAACCCGACAAGGTAAAACGTTGAGTAGCAAAGTACAGGTTAAAACTAACATACTTCTTAAGAGAAATCAGAAGACTGAAATATCAGAAAGAAAGTTTTACTATTTGTATATTTCGAACTGTTTTTCTTCACGCTGTTTTTCCCGCACGTGGGTCACATTTCAGATAACCCGCTAGCGTTTTGATTGGCTCCTACCTCTTTAACATCCCTGTCTTTCAAGGTTACTGGAAACTCTATAAACAAGGTCCGGTTTTACTAATCAACGTTTTCAGTTCGAGATACTATCAACTCAGTTGATTACCAATGTTTTGATATCCCTCCACGAATCATTCCGGTCGGACCATCTTGGCTCTTGACCATCAATCGTTAATTGTTATTGCTAGCTCTCACAACTTCACATTGTAACAGAAAGAAGTTGAACTATCAGTATCATTTCATTATAACAAACTCAAAGATTCTGCTTGTTAAGAAACAATTATCCAAAATCACTCATGATATATCACTTTCAACTCAGTTAAATTTAAAAAAGCATTCAGATATGAGTGTATGTTGATTAAAATATATGCTAAAGTATTAAACGTTTACTTTCCAGTACAGAAAAATGTCTCTATTCAACTGATAAACAATTTTCAGGCCATTTTGTAAATTTATGTGCATCGATAATATGAGACATTGTTTGACTTAGATAAAATAAAAATGCAGAACATTTCAGATTGTCATCATCATCATCAAAATCAGCATAGGATCAGGCATTACTGCATAACGGTTCGAGTTACCACACCTCATATCACCATACCAAGTAAAAAGGCAGTGAAGTGCAAGATGAAGATAAGAAAATTCAGTCAAAAGAAATATAAAGTACGAAAAGAGAGAAAGGAAGAATGAGGAAATATTGAGATCCAATAAAGCGTTAAGATGAGGATAATGTGTGTATACATCTGCGCCACTGACATCAGTTCTGAGGCATATCACTTAGAATCTCCAATCACTGGTTCCTCTTGTCCCGCACACCCCAACCACCTAGTCTGCCCCACATGGCTCAAACCAACAGTCAAAGACTTCATACACTGGTTCAATGTTTTGCTCTGAGCATCTCAGGCCTTTTTCCAGTCTGGACCTATTTCGACCAACATTGTGTGACGAGGCAGACGGTGACTAGGCATACCTAACACATGTCCCAACCATTACAGTCAATGACGGCTCATAACCTCGTCAACTAACTTACCTCTTCTCCCTAAAACTCTACATGTGACGTCTGCATTACTCACGTAGTGACACCACGGAATATGGCCTATACTACGAAGGCAACGACGGTCAAACACTTGAAGCCTTCTCATGTCTTTCACCTTCAATGGCTATGTTTTAAAGCCACACAGTAGAGCAGAGCGGACTGCTGGGCAGTAAAAGTGACCCTTAATAGACAATCGGATATCACTACGGTCCCATAGTTGGCGTAAGTTGGCGAAAGCCAACCGAGCCTTCTGTATTCCTGCAGAAATCTCATCGGCCACTGAGCCATCAGAGCTGATTCTACTTCTCAGGTAAGTGAAGTGGTCGACATACTCAACCACTACACTCTCTATTCTTGGCCGTGGTACAGTTGAAAACCAATCCTGGAGCAACAATTTGCATTTGGCTGATGAGAATCGCGTCCCAAACATTTTCAAATTGCCACTCAAAGTGTTCAGAAGACTCTGCATCTTGTCGGAGTCTTCACCTAATAGGACTATGTCAGATTGAAGATCAGTCATTTTGATGAAGTTGATACAAATAATATTGCCCAAATTTTGATCAGCTCACACAAACAGACTAATTTAGGTGTGTAACTAGCAGAAGTTGGACTGGTTTGGAACGGTTAGGGTAACCAGATTAAGATGCGGCACCAGTCCATGAAGTCTCGGATTGTTGGTTTGAGTCATGAAGAGAGGTGTAGACAGCTTGTTTCGGGTCTTCGACGAGATGCCAATAAAACGGCTGAAGAATTTTGGTGAGATGGTTAATAATCGGTCACAATGGTGCGGATGTATTCACTCTTCAACACCGTCTGAAACATTATATTCAAACTCCTTCTTCTCCTAAACACCTTTTTTCATATCGCTCTTTGTCTACTGATTTGGTCTTTGCTTGCCGCTATAAATTGTAGCTAACTGGACCGATCTATCTCTATGCAATGTTCCACGATGACATTGTCTATCTATCTGCAAAACGTTTAGCAACCAAATCTTTCAGGGTAGGCGATAGTCTATGATACGAATGAAGGTTATTCACAACCTAAATGTATCACAAAACTGTCTACAATAAAGACATATAACACCATAAGTAGCCTGTCAATAGGAAGAATGAAGCTCCTGACACACAATTCTATTATCTGACAAAATAGATGTCGAAAGCTTAATAAAACATTAAGAAAACATTTTACTCACCTGTTCTGTTTCAACAAAATTAGCAACATCGCCACTATCATTTATTCCACGTACATGAAAACGAGTGCCAGGTCGCTGAGCAGATACTCTTGAAACAACTCCAACTCGCGCTTGACCAACACCACAATAAACTGTACAAACCTCAAATCCACCACAAAATATGGACACCAACCAATCATTAGGATTAATTCCAGCTCGTATTAATGGTCCCATTAACCCTTTGTTCCACAGAAAGTTAACTCCAGTATCACCTCGGGAGTAAATGTCACTTATGCTCAAAACCTCATCACCTAGGCGACTTCGATTCTGAATGTTTACAGTCAAATCATAAGGTGTACCATCGACAATTGATCGGGCGAAGTAAAACATTCCTGATGAAAGTAGTTTGCGGAGCTGTGAAGAAAATTCATTCAGTCACTTATGAAATGGCATATCTAAGTAAATAAATAATTTTTAAATAATTTTAAGGCGAGACAGCTTACACAAGGTCAACAAAAGAGTCATTAGATCTTAATCAACGATTTTATACTCTTCAGTAGTGCATGAATTCTACTAACCGATTCTTAATGATTCGTTAATTTAAACAATATGATATCGTTATAAATTACAAAGTAATTTAGATTTTTGAATCCTACAACAATAAAACCAAGAAAAAGAACCATTCTCTTTTACGCAATCAAGAATGCATATTTCTTTACCGATGACCATCATCAAAGACAGAAACATTTGTATTTTCCCCCGATCGACTCTATACGTCTGATAATTGATACAAGTATTTTTTTTCAGTAAAGAAATGAAAAAATGGGACGTTCTTCAACTTAATGATGCATATTTCGGCTGATCTGATTTTGATGAACGAATCACGAACATTATCTGTTCCTTGAATCAAAAACATAACTCATTGCTTGTCAATACATGTAATGAATGTTCCTTGCACTTTAAACAGGATGTATAGCAGTGTAACATGTAGGTAGTTAAAGATCATTGATATTTTATACAAAACTGAAACCGATAAAAATAAGCATTTCAAGGTTGAAGATTCGCTCTATAGTATGTATGAGGAAGTATGTTTAAGCTTCACTATTGGTACTTGCAGTGCATTCATTGTATATAAGTGTACAAACATAATATGGTGATATAATTCAATAATCTGTGGAAAAAATACATATAAAATATTAACTGAACTCTTTCAGCACTCGGTTACACAGCCATGCAACAAGCAATGAGTAACACCTGCTGTGAGGATTAATAATACTATGTGGCTGCCAAAACGTCAGTAGGTAGATCGGGATTCAAACCCGTTCTCTATTAGTTGAAAGTTAACTTCTTGAACCAATGAAACACAGCTTTCTTAAAAGGTTACAACGCTCAGAGAGTTGCAGAACCTTAGCTGAACGAGATCTCTTCTAAAAAGTATGCCAACTTGGTAGCGATGTGCCTTAAACGAACTCAAAGATATGTAAAATATCAAGCCAAAATTAGGCTGAGAAAAAATCACTCGAATAGTTTAAAGTGAAAAGCTGAGTCTCGGCAATAAGCATAGCAAACAACCGACGACCATCAAATAAAATTCTGACAATTAACTTACTACCTTTTTAATTTGAAAAGTGGCTACTGTCTAGTCTTGAATTTAACATCCTTCCAGGTCAATTCTCTACACTAATAACCTAAGGCATTCTTGTGTGCAACGCGAAATGAAATCGGTATTAGTATGTTTTATACATACCACAACTGTACCACATTTAAAACACCCGTTCCCATCTGACCACTAAAGTTAGCCCCCAAATGCTCTGGCATGCGCTCACAACCCCTGCCCGCAAGTCCCATTTACTGTCTTCATGTAATAGGGGTGTCTTTACAGAAGTGAAAGGGCGTAAGCGAATGTCTGGCGCTTATAAGTGGACTAGTGGATACTAAGGGTCCACCTATGGGGAATTGGAAAAGCCTAATTCCAAACCAACGGTTCACATGGGCTCCAGGCTCCAGATGGAACGAATGGCGTATGAACTTACTTACGCCACCGGCAACCACGGGAATACAGCTCCTGATGCTGCTTCACTCCTTTGTGAATTAGACTTCAACTCAAAGGCTCGGTGGGTGGCCCCCCAAGACAATCACCTGCTTCGGTCTGAGCCCCTGCGCCGTATCTCAGTCCTCACCCAAAGTATGAATTTGCAATATAAAATGAAGATTTCGAAGCTTGTGAACAACTTTCTTTCGAATGCTCAATCTCTCCGCCCTACGATTTTTATGACCGATTACTCAATTTACTGCTATTATATTTTTTTGTTTTTACATATGAACTATATTTTTTTTATTATTACAATTTTCGCCTTTGTCTATATCTTAACTTCACTCAATTGCTCTCCATTGCTTAGAATCCTGGTCTATCTGTACTGTATTGAGTCGCAAAATAGTTGGCCCCGTAAAGCTGTCCTCTAGTGCGATATCCCACGCAGCTATCCTGAGACCGCGAGTACCGTTTCAGCTCGCCACCTTCAACGTTCGCACCTTGATGCAGATCGGATAAAAAGCAGGTTTGGCTGGGACTCTAGAAAGCCACGCCGTTGATATATGCTGCATCTCAGAAACCCGTATACACAATCCCAAGGAAGTGCTTCGAATTAGTTGACCATTTATCAGCTCGAAGAGTATGTTTCATGTGTGTTTATCAAGGGACTCTGTGGGATCGGCAACCGGTTTCGCTGATGTCTGTCGCACTAAGTGCTCGAGCCGAAGCTGCACTACTCCACTGGATCCCCATCAATAGTTGTTCGTGTGCCATTAGGCTAGAAGTTTCATTTCGAGTAAGAAGTAACCGGAAAAAGAAACGATATCTCTTCATCATCTCTACTTATGCTCCAACTGATTGCAGTCCGGAAGCAACCAAGGATGAATTCTATCATCAAATGAGTGACCTTTTCAACCGAGGGTACTCGGTAGATATAACAGTTCTAGCTGGGGACTAGAATGCACAGGTCACGCATCTAAGTTGAGAGGAGACTTGTTTATATGGCCAATGAGGACTAGCTGACCGCAGGCCGGATAATGGGGATCGTCTTCTACAGCTTTGCGCAGATCACAACCTATTTCTAGCCAGCACCAACTTTCTGCGCAGTCATTGCCATTGGGTTAAATGGAGACGTCCCTTTTCCAATCAAGCATGGACTTAAATAGATCATATTTCAATCAGCTACCGATGGCGTGGATGCATACAGGAATGTCGCTTCATATGGAGCACGTGTCTGAACTCTGACCATGCTTTATTGTGTTCTAAACTCGTTTTGCGCCTAGGCGGTCATCAAAATCGTAGTCTTAAACAGGTGTATGCAACCAAATTAGTTGCACCTAACATTGCAGCTACATACCAATCAGAGTTCAATTTAAGGCTGGCTACCGTTCCTCCAGAATACGTAGACGAGCATTGGCTGCACTTGCAAAACACCACGAAAATGGCGAGTAAAGCCGCTCGCAGTTTGGGAGCACATTCTGCTAATAAACACTGCATCTCTGCGAGCTCTACAACTTTTTGACGCCCGTCAGACCGATTTGGCACAGAGAGAGAGAGAGAGAGAGAGCACAATGGTTTGCGTAAGTCTCTTACACGAAAGATCACACAACGCTTATACAGGGACCATGAAACTTGGTGGTAGGGACGTGCGAGTGAGATGGGAGAAGCAGCTGCCTCTGAAAACAGTCAGAAGCTGTTTCAGCTCATCCAAGCCACTGGCAGTGTGGCGGTCTATGAGGTGGATGGTACGCCAATAAACAATCTTCACAGCTGCCTGGAACGCTGGGCGGAGCACTCTGAAAAGCAGTTTAGCTGGCCCACTGCTTTAGTATCTTCAGTTTTAGTGTATCGTGCCCCACAGTCAGTTGACACTGACCCACCTAACGAAGCGGAGGTCCATAAGGAACTCCAAGTCCTGAAACGCCATAAGGCACCCAGTCCAGACAACGTACTTCCGGCTCCTTTTAAGGATGGAGGAACGACTCTAGTCATGGAACTGACTAGATTATTTGAAAAGGTATGGTAGACTGAGTGTTCTATCACTCTGAAATGAAGCCAACGACATGCTTGTCTTTAAAAAGGGTCTATGTAATGTATGTGATAATCATCGGGCTATTAGTGTTACCAGTCGCGTCGAAAATAATGGATGATATCATAACTCACAGACCGTAAAACACTTAAGGGAATTATTCTTGAGGAGCACGCCAAGTTTGGTCAAGGTCTTGAATGCTTTAACCATATGTTTACCCTCCGCTAGATGAACATCACCGCATGTATACCAGGCCAACAATTGTTGTGTTTGTTGACGTCAGAGCTGCCCTCGATTTGTTGGACAGAGCTGAACTCTGGAAATGTCTCTTAGAGAGGGGCGTGCCTGAAAAATTCGTTAACCTCCTGAAAGCCCTATATAATAATACCTCACGTAGAGTGAGGGCATGCAACCACCTGTCTTCATTGTTCCGAACCAGCAGTGGGGTTAGACAGGGTTGCCCGATTTCCCTATTCCTCCTTAGCTTTATCATCGATGACATTCTTTTAGATAGCTATGAAGGAGATGCGTGACGGTGGTGAACATCTATTACCTGGAGAACGATTATTCGACTTTAAATAAGGGGACAATATCATCTTACTATGAAATAACACACAAGTTACTCAACTGTCAATTAATCAGTTGGCGATTAGTGTCCGTAAGTTTGGGATGTGCTTTGCACTATTGAAGACTGGCAGGACCCTGTGCCTGTCCTCACTCTCGTCGGTGAACAGTTGGAGGTATCTGAAACTTCCAAGTAACTAGGAAGTTGTATGAGTGCTGGTGGAGGAATGTGATGAAATTTCTAACCGCATATCGAAAGCCAGTGGCTTTACGCTTGTGAAATCTGGTCTCTCCGAGCTGAAGCTGTACGAAGACTCTATGTGTTCGATAATCGTTGTCTCCGTAAGATTGCTCGTATCCTGTGGCAACACCATGTAGGCAATTCTGCGGTTTGACAGCGTATGTTTTGGCATGATGGAGATCATCATTCAATAGGTGAAGTCACCTAGAAACATCGATTTCGACATGTTACGCATGTCATCCCAACGGCTTCTACACCGTTCATCGTTTGGTAGCCCTGGGTGGATGGAAGACGCGAAGGAGTGGTCAGTGTATGACGTGGTGCCGTGGGATAAAGGGTAGTTAGATCAAGTTAGCATCTGTTAGTCCATCACGACTCTCTGGGTGGGGTCCAAGAGATCATGCAACTCAGTGGCTTGAGACGTTATCAGACATGGCTCAGAATCAAAACCAGTGGCGGCTGAAAATGAATGTAATGAATGTTTCGAACTAATGAATGAATGTTTTGTTTTGAAATTATCTTACTGAACTTCCCTTCTGATCATTTCATTTTTATTGTTTTTCGTTTTATCCGCTTCCCTTCACTTTGTCTTCATATTTTTGTTGAATACCTTGTGTGGCGCATTTCTTGATGCCCTTGCTGTACCACGTTTGTGTTATTAAAACAATTATTATTATTATTATTATTATTATTATTATTATTATTATTATTATTATTCATATGGTCCTATTTCTCTACGTCCGAGAAGATAATTACACAGCTTTCCACTACTCATATATCCGGCACATGCTTCTGAATATTCCAACATAAATTGATACTTCGTGCCCCAGCTTTACTTATATTATTTTTTAAACTATCAGATTCATGTTCTACATTGACTACCTGCATTTAAAAATGGTAGCAGTTGCTAACAGAGATCGGCGACCGTAATTTGCTCAATGGAGACCTCAAGTTAAATGGACATATTTGATATCTTAATAATTCAGCCATAAATGTTGTAACATTCAAAACTTAACTCACACAATTTCCAGATCAGCTTGCCTTCGCATTGTACATTAACTAGTATAGACTGCTTTTTGTCGTTAAACGTGTACACACTTTTTCTTCTTACTAATTTATCTGCTCACATTTTTCTTTCCTCTTCTTTTGCAGATTACCATGCTAAAGGAGTGGGATACTACTACTACTACTACTACTACTACTACTACTACTACTACTACCACCGAAATTACACCCACTATATCACTCGCTTCCAACAGTAAATTTGCGTCACATTAGACAAAACTACCAACACTCGGTCATTACAAAACATACAAAGAGAAAAGACTCGACGGTTTCATGATGACAGCGATCTTCTGTCAAACAATTTCGCAAACTGAACTTAAGATGAAATGACGGAATTTATAGACCTAAGGAAAATATTTCCTATAATTTCAAAACATTGTTCTCAGTTGAACAACAGGGCGGTTAGTTAAGACATGTCAACCTCTACGAAGATGAGTTCATCATCAAAAATCGAAGACTTTCTAAAATGTTAAATATCCTGAGGTAGCAGTCATCAAACTTTGAGACCAATATTTGATTCAGTGTAACTACTAGTAGGTATCGACCTAATGGAGTTGCAGCACTTTGACTTAGGCATTCAGCTTTAGATCAGTGTGTCACGGATTAAAACCCTGTAAAACCGACTGGAGTTTGGTCAGTTGCGTGGTCCTACCATGATAGCTATGAATAATCTTTGAGTGAATGGATTTGAAAGAGATAAATAAACAGTATCATTGTATGGTTCTAATTAGTATATAATTGTAAAAGAGATAGTGTAAAAAAGCATTAAAGTCTGGAAAAAAAGCAGGTAAAAACTAGGACGACCAGTGAAGCGGTGCAGTACGAAAGTTAGGGAAACACAATAACACGACAGCCTGTATAATGATTACTAACTTGCTAGGAAGGTTGAAGGATAGCGAACACATCAGCTTATTGCCTAGATAAACGAATGGTTGATGCGATTAGTGGAGAACCATGAGTTAGTAAAACACAATCGAAATGATGTCTCCTATAACACTATGCTTGTACTTTAGGATTTAGAAAGTGATCTTACATTTTCTATGGTGATAAAGGAGCTGGGGCTCTGTATTAGCTAGATTACTTGATACAGCAGTAGCACCCTTATTCACCCACATAAAAATATGTGGTTGAAGATGAGTCAGACTACATAAGAAACATTGAATAAAATGTTATTTAATATATATATATATATATATATATATATATATATATATATATATATATATATATATATATAAAGACCAAATACGTATGACACATTGTCCAATAATGAACCCAAATACTCACATCAGGATAAAAATCCTCCTCAGCCCCTTGAAATTTCAGGTTAATAAACTGTACGTTAGTGATGCGGAAAACCTCAAACGATGGGAGCTTCCCCACGGAAGTGCATCCAGTAACCATGACAAGAAAGGAATGCGGAGCAAAGATATTCGAATCTGCAGTGGGAGGAATTGGAGGTACTAAAACGCCAAGACAGGCATAGGCGTCTACAGCCTTTGTGTACTGGTATTTTCGAAGATCAAACTCCAAAGGACTTATATGAGCGATAGCACCCGAGTCAAACAATAAAGCCCCCTTGACAAACCGACTTTCTAGGACCACATTAAACTGTTGCAACGATTCAACATTATCTGGACAGTAACTTTTCATTAAAACCCTACAATTCTTTAAAAACGACATTTTACTCCCTTGCGATGACCTTGAGGACCAGACAAATTAACCTCTGTTTTCTCTCAAGGACTCTTCAACATCCAGTGAAAAGGACAGTAATCTGTTAGCCTGTGTTAATGTTCGCAAGAGTTATCTCAATGCAGGTGAAGCTTTCACTTGAAATCGGCCAGTGGAAAAGCTGGTACCACATATTTCGGTGACCAGTTCCAGTCAGTGACATCATCGAACATCCGACATCAGTAGTGCAAGTAGAAGAAACTTGTCTTTTTTGAGCTCTCACCCCTAGGTCTTGGGAGAGATCGGATACTCCACGCGAGTGCGGTTTGACACATGGTTTCAGATTTCTTCAAAGACTACTAGTTGTTAAGAGAATGAAAATATAAGTAAACTGAGTGCCTAAGTCATGATTCAAAAAAGTCTAAAGTTAGGTCTCCTCTTTTCCTACCGCAGGATAGGAGAAACAGCTTAGCCTCACTAATTGCTCTTCGTGGGGAAGACTGGCAAGACCCTAAACTAATTTAGTGACAACCGGTTGTAAACGTCCTAGTGAATCAGCTTATTCCTTGGAGCGTGGACTAGCCGCCTGGACACAGTAACCAGAGTGGGAAATGGGGTATAGGACTGTAAACATTTCACCAAAGCATTCGAATAGCCCACGAAGTGACCAAAGCATACAAAAAGCCACAACAGCGGAAGCATTGCAACTGGCAGTGGTTTTTAAGTCGTGAACTGCGATAACCTCAAAGTCTTTTTGTTTCAAAACCCAAAGTATTAGATGGCCATGCACTGAGTGGCCACCAGAAAAGTCACGCCAAATAAAAATTGTCGCGCTTTTTTCAAATTGGTCTCCAGGTTCTGTCAACTGGACTATTCGGCATGTCATCACAAATCGCCCTCAATATCTTGACGTCACTAGCAAATAGCAATGTTTGTGAACCTATCATCTTCGGTATTTCACCAACGTTGAGAAGTAGGAACAGCAGTTCGAGAATCACACCTGGTGATAGGTTGCAACTCAGGTAGTATTCCGCTGATTCTTAAACCTCGCCCAATTTCGTGCAGGTGTTCCCCCACCCAAGGACGAACCACACTGTCAATACCAACAACTCCGGGTGTGACAATTCGTCAAAAGCTTTGTTAAAGTCAACAAAAACCGCATATTTGTGAAGTAACTTGCTACATGGAGCTGGATCAGACAATCTCCGCCTTCCCTCTGGAAAACTTGAAGGTTTGTCTGCTGATATTCTTTGTCCCACCAAGACTGAGTGCGAACGAGTTCAGTTAAGATTTTTACCTAATTATGCGTGAATATAAAACCGGAACTTTCTAGATTTACTCGTAGGTGGTGCAAAAGTCGATCCCTGGAAATTTTCTTTAACCTGCTTCCCGGTGTTGCAATGCGTTTCAATATCCTCAGTCTCTGTAGAAACAAAAGATGCTTCTTCTTTACTTTCTGCATCAGTGTTTCATGAGAGGTTTTTCCTCATGAAATGGTCATGGTTCTGAATTCGATTTAAAGAGATCTGAGAAGACTAAGCTATTACCTATTGCCATTCAATCCCCTTCTTATATCGATGTCTATCATGGTATGCAAGGGAAGAAAGCTTGAAGGTTCGGCAATGTTGTTACTTAATGTCCCCAAATGAAGTATAGATGCTTCTATGAAGCCGTCGGACAAGGCAACCCTAAAAACTTAAGGGGAACAACCCCTACTTTTCTGAGGCTCCTAGGGATGGATGAATTAGCACAACTCACCATCCTCACCCCCTGTTGCGTTTTTGTTGGCCTTTTATCTAGCAAACCTCCTCTACTTAATGCGCCGTTGTTTTCTTTGTGTTGGTCACATACTGTGGTGGACATAAGGTTGTAGAACTGCGACCAAATCTAATTTTGTTAGATGTCTGTGATGGGATAAAATATCTTGAAAATAGTCATTATTACGTCTGTTTGACTGTCTGAACTTCCATGGATGCTTTTCGTTCCTCGGAATGTGGCGAAAAATTCCAAACCTTTATGAGTAATGTCTTTTATGATTCGGACTTTGCTCACGTTTGAATCCATGACTGCCTCATCGTGAGTCCAGATTAAGAAACTCACCGTGAACATTCACAACAAAAACAGTATTTACTCCAGAATATATAGGCGCGCACCACTTTTACAGGTATGAATAAGTTACCATGTAAATTACAAATATCGTTATGCAGCCTATCTCACTCCCCACCTATTTTGTCACTGGGGGATATAAGTGCTACATGTTTGTACGACGAAACATCCAGGCAGAACAAGTATGCGAAACTTTACAACGTTGGCAGGTGGAATGTTGCATTTGCATCAGCAAAACACCAGGACTTGTATCTGGACGTTACGTGCATTACCTATGGAAAAATAAAGCCGGAAGCTGATACTTCGATCGTGACACCTTTTACATTTTGCTTAGGATAATAAAAAGAAGTTCATAAGTGAGTGTATATAAGTTTTTCATTTATTTTACCTCATCGGTGATTCCAGAAATCTATGATTACTGCATGTTTTTACTATTTCACATCAAAGATTAATAATCTTGCTGAATATTACTGGCGACAGCTAAACACCTACATTTTTCAACTCTAGCAAGCAGAAGAAGTGGTTTTGTTTAAGCCTATCAAGCGGAATTTTAGAAAATCGTATAGGCCGTTTTCACGGGTCTGGACAAACTTGTGGTCCGCACGTGTCAGACTTTCCTGGCCACTTTCATATTAAATAAATCCTAGGTTTCGATAATTATGAAGTTGCAGCCCAATGAACATTCTTTGTGTCTGTTTGTTGTAGTTCAGCATTATAATAATGATATGTATATTTCGTGCAACATAGGTTACCTGAATACAAACCGGTTTGCAGGTTTGATCATTTTAGTAACGAGAAATGACTAGTATACACAGTGTTAAGCTATACATTAGATACCGTTATTCATGGCATATAAGAGGTCTATTGACGCGGGCCCGGTTAGAAATTAGGAATTATTCGGTTGTTGTTTGAATCTTCCAATATTCTTGAAGGTGGGGCAGGCATCGCAGTCATGACCTTGGGGTGTGTGCGTTCGTCATAAGGTTTTGATGGCAAGCTGCACACTGACAAATGTGATCTCTAGGATTCCATTCGAATGCAGGACTGGCTAGGCAAACGTGAAAAGTGAATAACAAAGGCGATCAGCAGACGAAAGTCGAAACAGGAGCACAAAAATATACAGGAGTATATCAACCACGATACATCCGGGTGGGTTCTTTGTACTGACTACAAAACTTACTTGAAGAAGTGTCCAAAACCAACTGTTTGGAGGTAAGCATAAGTGGAAGAAGATGAAGGTGCGCACGATGGTAATGAAAATTAGTCTGAAGCCGAAGATATCACTACGAAGTAGAGAGATCAGAGGATTTTGGACCGGGCACTCACTTGTTATATACCTATGTACAAACGTTTGATGCAGTTGTAAACATTTAAGTGAAATTCGTAGTTTTTTCCGAGATGGTAACTACCCTTTATCTAGTTACGGGGGTGGGACGATCATGGTGTTGCCTGTTGAGTATTACCATATAGGGGGTACCAAAACAATATGGTGGTGCGGAGTACTTACATGTAAGTACTGATAACAAAGGGCAAATAATAAAACATGTTACATGCTATGAAAATGTGCCGACAGACAGTTCGTTTATCTTTTCGGAGTAGAGACATAAGTTTAAGGGGTGAATTTTAGGAAATAGGTGTTAAATCGTGAGGTCAGTCAGATTATGAAGAAATGTAGATTACACCAGAGTAGCTACTTAGTTCATTGTTGCGAATCGTATCGCACTCTGCTTCCTGTTCACCCTTCGTCACTTTCTTTAGAGAGATTAGATTTTAACTTAACTAGTGCTTTTGGTTTTCTGCATTGTATGCTTTTGTCATTGATGTTAATCTCCCTTGAGTCTAGGTACCAGTATCACCATTGTACATGGTATTACCGCTTGTGGTTTGGCCGTTAAGGAATTTGTTAAATAAGAGGAATCTACTGAGTAATCGCTGAAACTGGCCGAGCGAACGGCATGCTCGTATAGGAGCGGGAAGTTTGTTCCATAGCATACTGTATTGCGTTATGAAAAACCTACATCGAAGTTATGGGCGTTACTTATTTATTGGGATGATGTACTCACTATTACGCAGATTATATGCCTGCGTTGATTTAAGTGATAACACATTTCGTTTGAGAGTTTCCGAATAAAAACCGAAAAAGAAATGTTGGGTCGAGCTCCAGGCGTCTCAACCGGAGTGATTCTAGCTGTAGTTTTTGCATCTTGCTTCGTATGCAAGCCCCTCGTTATGTATTAGTAGGTGCCGAGTAAAGTTTCTTTGAAGGCTCTCTACTCGAATTCTGTCCGATACTTCCATGTTACAATAGATAACCATTAGGTACTCTAACATTGGGCGGACCATAGCCTTGTACAGTATAAGTTTTGCCTCAGATGTGAGTACGTTTCTGTGTGGAAGACCAATGAGTCTTCTGCCTTTGGAAACTATTGGATCTGCCCACTCCGTAAAGGCCAAACTTCTGGAGTAAGTGATTCCGAGGTCTCTCACAGTGTTCTATACCTATGAAGCGATGTCACATAAGTGTAGTGTTACTTCTGGGTGGGATTTATTGAATGAAGTATGCCACTTTCATCTAGGTTTAGAGGGAGCTGTGAGGCCACACTCCACGTGAATACCCTCTTCAGATCTTCTTGTATTTGAGAAAAACCCTGTGTTAGTGCTGCAGGAGAAAAGCTGTAGACTATCTTCAAGTCGTCAGCGAAAAGGTAGGGTATGCCATTTCGGATAACACTGCAGATATCGTTTACATAGATTAGGAAAAGTATCGGTCCTAGCACACTACCCTGGACGACACCACTTTGTATAAGTCTAGGGGTGGAGTAGCAATTACTGAATTTTACTACTTGGAAGCGACCCTCTAAAGATGTTCTGAGCCAGGACAGTAACGGGTCTCGGAAACCATATGATTGCAACTTAGTGACCAGGCGTTTGTGAGGCACCTTATCGAATGC